ATTCAACAGCTAGCTGTAATCTTCCTCCTCCTTTTTTTTTTTTTTTGGTTTATTAATTCTACAACCATCACACACTCACAAAATGGGGTCCAACTTAAAGCATAGTAATGCTCTCAAATCAGTGGGACAGACAAGAAGACTTTATTGATGCATCAATGAATTCCTAGCATATGAATTTATGGCATCTATCAATGTACCCTTGGAGAAAAAGATTGTCCATTTGAAATTCTCATATCTCCTTGATATACTTCTACTATAGTAGGAGCCTTTTGACTGGATTAGTTAATTTGAACCATGAGCACATTTAATTCTCAATTACTGTTTTCCTTTCATCTAAATTTGATTTTGACATATTCCCCAAAAAATAGTTACTGGTTCAAAGATTTGATTGATTTAGAGTTCATTATACATATAGTTAACTTTCACTTACAAATAAATTTTATATATCATATATATATATATAATTTTAATTATTTATATTTTTACATTTAATAATTGAGATTTATTTATAAATCAAATGATCTATTTATGTAAATTATGTATGTTAATTTTTAAATTAATTTAACATCTATTATCATTTAATCTAGAAATTATATTTTCTCACTATATTTAACAGTATTAAATTTTTGTATAATCTAATTAAACATATTTAATTAATTTAAAAATTAATATGCATTATTTATATAAATAAAATATTAAATCAAATAATTAGTTTTTAAAAATATTTATTGAATGATAGTGTTTTTATAAATATTTATTAACTAAACCTTTCAAAAATTAAGAAAAAAAACTCATGTTCATGATAAAAAAAAAATTAAGAAAAAAAACCTTAAAATTATGTTATTTTAATAAAGTAACACATGAGAAAACTAAAATAATCTCATTAATCCTTTAAAAATATGTTATTTTATTTTTTTAATAAAAATTTATTAAATTGATATAATTTTAACGTGTTTTTAGTGATAGGTTGATAAACATTTTTTCATATACCACATGAATTAGAAGTGCAGAGGTCGGGGACGGTTTTGAGAAAAGGTGTCAGAAATAGAGAGATTAGAAGTGAAAATTTGATCATATTAACCAACCTTCATTTGTGAACAATCTGCGACATGAATTGTGAGTACAGTAGTATTTAAGGACACAGTTTTGAACAATTGTTATACTCAGAAAGTTATATGATTGTAACAAACAGAATAAAAAAGCCATGGAAATTGGCCAAGAGTTGTAGGTAGAGCAATAGATGTATTAGCAGTAGAGGAAAATAAAAGTATCATTTTGAAATGGATTTCGAGATTAGTAGATGAAGAAGAGGAGGCTATCTTCATCATCATTGATTCATTGGCAACAGCGATCATAGATTTAGTAGACTCACGGAAACCTGTTGATTCCTGTACCGATCAGGTTTCCAAGGATGTCTAGTGCGGCATTGCTTACTTTTATGTTCCAGATAATTTGCAATAACGACAGAATGGGGTGGTACGGTGAGTAGAAATTTGTCCTTTCTGCTTACACATCCAACATGAAACAACACTGTACTTGTCTATGACGAAACGAGCATAGATTTACCAAGAACTAACTGAGAAACCTGAAGGTGAAAATTTTGATGGTAAAATGGGAAAGAACTTTCCCGAAAACCTTGGGAGCGGGTCTGAAATTAATCTGAGAAAACTGGAGCTATAATCAGCAGAAAGTGAACTAGTTACCAGAAACCAAATCAGACCGAACTGACAACAATGAAAACAATTAAGAGAACCAAACCAGCAACAAGTCAAACAGTCAACAGAGTGCAACATTGTGATACCATGTTAGAAACTGAAGAGAGGAATTTCTTTCTTAATTAATACTATGTATAAAATGATCAATATATGTCTACAAAGAAAATATCAGGTGACAGAAATTAAGCAAGAGAAAATCTTCCACCATCTCACAAATATGGGTATCCATGAGGATTACATTTTCCTTTTTTGGTTTTTCTAATTTGTGCATTGGATGCAATTAATTATAATATTTTTTTACATTAATTGTTATTAAAAATAAAAATTAATTTTATTTTATATTCATCTAATAAAATACATTTTATTAATATATATGGAGTATAAGAGGTGTTTATACCTACAAATCAATACAACACACTAAATTTAGCCTAACAAAAAACACATTTTTATAAAAATAACTATTTAATTAAAATGATTTTTATAACATTGATAATAAAATTAATGATAATTTTATATTTTTATTATTCATTCATACTCCTTATATTCCATTATATTAGTTGTTTTGGAGAGAAAAACTTGTTCCTAAATAATTGACGTTTTAGCAAATCAAAGATTGTATTAATTTTTTTGTTTCAAATTTACCCTTATTGGTGGTTTTTTACTAATTCCTCTCCCCTCTTTAACTACTTAATTTTGAAAAGGTATAATGGTATTTTAATATTAAAAATCTCTAAATTCAAGAGTAATTAATTAACTTTTTTTAATTCTCATGTACATCTCTAAAATGTTCAATAAATTAAAATAAAAAGAGTATAAAAAAATACATTAATTACATCTTTAAATATACAAATTAGAAAAACTTTCTTTTAATTTCTTCCCTCATTTGATACAAACAGAGAGGATCCGCCACCAGGCAAATTGTACGTTGAGTCAATAAAATTGTCAAAGCCAATAAATTTACCCGTTTTGCAGCGAATTTCTAGACTTTATTGTTGTGAGACCTCGAATTCTACGTTAGAAAGAAACTATAATTGTAAATGGTATAAATTATCGTTGTTAAAATATTAATGGTTTTTTTGAGTTATATTTTTTAAAAAATAATTAATATATTTTTATTAAATTATATAAAAAGAATAAAATTTAATTTTAATTTTAACTATTAATTGATTAAATTTAGATATGTAATATTTATATTAAAATTAATATTTATTTTTTATTTTTCATATAAGTTAATAATTAAAAAATATATTAATTATATTCTTAATATGATCTTTAAAATACAAATTAAAAAAACTCAAACGTTAGTGTTGATTATTGGCAGAACCTTCAAATCGTCCCTTAAAAAATATGGATAGGGACGGATCCACCCCTTAAAAAAAAGAAAAGATATTTGTTCTCTCAAAATTATCGATTGACCCAAATCACTCATTATTTAACTGTTGACATCATCACCATCACAATCTCCATTTAACCCATACCAGCGTGTCATTTTTTTACACGTTGGAGACTGATATGTACCATCCCATCATTTTTTTTACACCATGTCACCCCTTTTTCATTTCATGGACCCCAACCTAATCCCAATTCGTCCACCTCCTTCAGAAACCCTAATCCCCATCACTTCCTTTGCTACCTTTTCTTAAAACCCTTTGTTTCAGAAGATTACCTCAAGTAAGAACAAAAACCCAAAAAATGTGAACTCTCTGGTGACTCTTGTGAAAGCTCAACCATCTTCCTCTTTCAGTCGTCATTGTCCACAATAAAAACTCCTTTTTCTCTAAAACCA